GGTCCAACAAGTCCAAAAAAGGTCATTAAGCGCCGTACTCTCAGGACAGGCCACCCAACATTGATCATCTGGTCAGCAATGTGGCCCCAAGCTGAAGAACATTAATGGTTCATAAGAGAGAACACATAGCCAAGAGGGGAATATCATGTTCAAATGTATTATGTATTAACGTTTTTTATTTGTGTGTAGCCTGGACATAATAGGTCATCTAAAAAAACAGTGTTTTGGGCAGGGTCCCTCGGTGCAAATGCGACATATATGGTAGGATTCCTTTCTTTAGCACAATGATGCTGGAAAATAATCAAACTGCACTGGCCACTGTGCTCCCATTAATATCATGATTCCCAGCACAATACAAAAATTAGAAGTGCAGCAACATTTCTCCCCCCTTTACCTTTGATTCTGAATAAGCAAATTATTGATTTTCAATAAAACCTTGCTTAGTAAGCGTATAGGCTGACTTTGGAAATCTTGCTTGAGAGCTAGCACCATGAGAGGCATGAAGTTCTATTCCAATATGGGGTGTAGACCTAAGATCAGCCTTTATTATCACATTGTAAAGGGGCACCTAGAATTATGGTCTACTCTTACCATTGTATGTATAGATATCACTCTGATCTTGGGTTAAGAGATAATTAGAGCAAATAAAAAAACTTCTTCAGAAAAAATATTTGCATTACTTAGCTATTTAAAGGAGAAAATGTATTGGCAAATATTTAAATGGTATCTGGTTCTTTATCAAAGAATTTTCCACAGCCTCAAAACTAAGCATTATTTTTCTATATCATGTTATTTAATTTCTTCCTACATGCTTTGAAGTGACATTTAAACTAGATTTAATGAAAATTAGATGTGCAGCGTATGAAAAAAAAAATGTATTGACCCAACAGACAGGTTACAGTAGAGATAACATGCTGGAAAATGAAAGGCATGAAAACTCAAATGGATACCTTAGTAACTCGAACAATCACCCACACAAGCAAAAGTACTCTTACTACAGTATTTGAATTAATACAAATAATGAAGACTAAAGTTTCCTACATTTGTAAAGATCATAATCAATACAATAGTGGAGGAATTAAAGGTATTGCAATAAGTGCAATATATGACTAATTTTAAAAAATCATGAACAGAACAGATATACTCAAAAGTATATTTCTGAGTCACCATGTTAAACTGGTACTGTAGACTGCATTCATACTTTTATCCCTAATTTCTTTAAATGTAACAATCTTTGAACAACTTCCATGTATGAAGCAATCATTTGATTGTCTATAATGAATACATAAACTGGAAAGTTGTTCTTGCTTTGAATGTTTTTGAGAAGCTGTAAATTACGATTTTAATAGGATTTCTCTAACTGCTAACAAGTAAATTTTAAATCAAAGTCCCAAGAGGATGAGTAGAAACGAGTTATCCCTAAATAAAGAGTAAAAAAAATAATTAATGGTAATTTTTTATCATACTGATACAGACAAAACAGTATCCTACAAGAATATATTGATAGTAATTTACACAGTGGTATTATATGTGCCTGGTAAGCTTACCTTAATAAGCAGAGGCTATAAGGCATTAATTACTTTCGCAAATTATCTTCACTGTATCCTCACAATCACATATAATAAAAGTACCTTCAAACATCAGAGCAGTGTTATGCAATTTAAAAGTCTTGGATCATAATTCCACTTCAATAACAACAGATAAGCATACTTGATTCCCAGTTATTCATCAGGAAAGTTTAACCCATTAATGTTGGTATATTTTGAAGCTGAAAATAAAAGATTCCGGGCGGCTACAAAATCGGACTCTGCCCGCCCGCCGGCCACGGCCCGCTGCTGTGTCAGAGTGCAAGCCTCGATACATCACACTGGCGGGACACCCGGCAATGTTTATTTTTTTGAGTGTCTCATATGTGGGGCACCCGTCGTTAGTGGGTTAAAAATAACAAGACAAAAATTATACATTTGATGGATATTTTGAATAAAAACAAATACATATATATGTGAAACCAAGGCAACATTAAAAGTTGATCTACTTACCTACTCCACAGAGTGAGCTGATTATATAAGGCACTGCTGTGAGACTCATACTCTCCTTGTTGGCCCCTAGCGTTCTTGAAAGGTACGTTGGCAGCCACTGCATTATGATGTAGTTGCTCCAATTCATGGCAAAGTGAGCTATATAAATGGACCATAATGACCAGTGACTTATCCATTCTATCCAAGAAACGCACATAACTTCCTGAAATGTTAATGAAAATTATGAATTTTTATGTAATGTGCTAATCCCATTTGATTTTATATTCTTTGATTTATGATAATAATTTTATTCATCAGTATATACACAAACATACAAATATATATATTTTTTTTCCATAACCTTTTCTTACAAAATCCATTCTAATTTAAACCACTTGAACATATATAATAAATACCTTAAGGAGTTGCTGTCCTACACATATATATACAAATACTTTTTTCCTAAAACCTCTTTTAACAAAATCCATTTGAGTTAAACCAGTTCAAAAATAAATAGAATGTATAAAAAAATATACCTTCTCAAGAAGTTGCTGTCCTTCTTCATCTGCATGTATTGGTGGATCATGGTATGTTAGCAGCCAGCAAACCACCCATAACAGTCCTATGCATCCAAATATTTCAAAAGACACATGCCAGTCCAAGTGTGGTGCAAACTGTAAAGAAATCAGAAATCATATGCTATTCAGGATTTTTCATAACCATGTTATCTTATTTCAGACTAAAAGAGTATTTTCTACAAGACATTTCACAAATCCATAACAAATTATTATATTTTTCTATTCCACTGCAGTCTATATACAGCTGTCCCAAAAGGTTACAAATAATGAAATCCCCCACTTACCAGGGATGCAACAGTCTGTCCCACTGACCCAGCAGCAACCATGTAACCAAAAGCTCTACTTCGTTCATCAGGTGGAATGTGTTGTGCGAATAACTGGAATATTGTGGGTAATCCTGTAAAGATAATCAGTACAATATATAAGATGCTCCAAAATAATTCATTCTTAAGAGATAAGTGAATGAAAAAAAAAATGTAATCTATAAACAGATGGATAGTGCCTTAATACCACCACAGTCATTGTTGCCATGGATGGTTGTGTGCTGAATCCCCCAGGATATTTTGCAAATCATTTCACTTTCCAATCAAAATCCATACTGTGAGCTGGATATATTGTGTGCCTTGAAGTTATGTAAAGAGGTTAACTGGCAATATAAATATATTTTGGACACCTTCCAGCAACCTCGAGAGAAACTATATGAAAATAGCCAAAGAACATTTTTTGTTTCCTCTGAAAAGACAAATAACTTGAATATAGACATTATAAAGATTAGTTTTAGATAAGAAAAAAATCAGTTATCAATAAATCTTTGGCAAATCCAATATCAGAAAGTTAAAAATGAATTTACAGATGATTATATATTCTATCAATTGTTTTCACATCAAATGGATATAAGATTTAAAGCAATGTCTAAAGACTTACCAAGTCCTTCTCCTAAGCCTAAAATAACTCTTGCACTAATGAGGGCCGGTAAGTAGGCAGCAGCCAAAGGTGTTACAATGGTAGAAAGCGACCACAACAAAACTGCAAAACACAGCACCCTCCGACCTCCATATTTGTTCACTGCATTGGCCCCTATTATCTAGAAGAAAATATTTCTTTATTGAAATCATTGTTAAACATACCTGTACAAACATAAAAATAAGAATTGTAATTCTAAGTATCATTATTAATAAAAAGCTATGATCAAAATTTTGTAATAAAAATGAGGAAAAGACAAACCTGACTTGTGAAGTAACCAAACGCAAATGCCGATAAGATCCATCCTTGCCAGTAGAGACTCCATTTGTATTCATTAGCCATAGGCACAATGGCCAGAGGCATGAGCACTCTGTCTGCTGCATTGATGAAGTTTGCAACAGAACACAACACCACCACCTTTGACTTGTATCCAAATGAACGCCATTGGAACTTCATCCTGAAATGAGAATGATTTATCAATAAACTATTATATTGTATATTGCATAAAAGCATCTACAAGACTTTTAAAAAAACAAATACTAAATATCTTATCAACCTATAAAGGTAGTAAAAATGAGACATATGACCTATGGAAGTAACATTTGTTATTTTCTTTACCACATGCAAACCATTTCCAACTTTTATATATACAATCATACTCGCCTGAACTTTTTCATGTAAACCTAGACAGGTCATGTGCAATGTCAAAATAACGTGAAAAAATACCAATAAAGCCACTCAAGTGCCATTGACATGACAGGTAACAATTGAAACTCAATTATGACAAAAACATGCAAAACACTGTGATGCCTAGATAGCAGGTGTATGAGCCTTCCAATAACTTAACTATAAGCATACACACATAACCACAACCAGAACAAATATAGAAGCATTCACATAAAATGTCTATATAATACCATGTACAACTATGCTCATTTTCACTTGTTACATGCTATATATATTTCTTTTCAACTTGATCTTTTTTTTGAGGTCAGCAGTGTTTTCCAGAAAATGGGTGTTGTACTATACTTGTAATTCACATACTGTTTAATATCCACATAAATGCAATAAATATAAAATCATTCTTTAGGAATTATATGAATAATGACTCAGATTTTCTTTTCTTTTTAAGATCATAATGTTCTTTGCATAATTGATATCTGTTAGCTTGTAGAATCATTCTAAATTTGCTAAGGCCATACCTTTTCTCTTCTCAGAAGTTAACCAATCAGTCACTCCTTAAAATTCCAAATTAGGGTACTTTCTCCACAAAATGTTTTTTTATTGGTCAAGATTGATATATCTGCAAAAGTTTGTGTACATATGTAGAATTTATAATCTTTTATTTGGTTAAAGGTCTATTTTCTAATTTTATACATATTTTTAGGTCTTTGAAGAGTTTGAATTTTTCAAGAATTATAAGAAAAGAAGAGCAGTTCCAGGGAGGTAATAATAGCATATGAATTCACTCTGCTGGACACCTTCAAAAGGCTGGGAGAACGCTGCATTTGCTCCTCACTCAAGGCCACAGGCCCGGGGCTGGCAGCTGAATGCCACCAATCACCTGGTACTACCAAAACCAACTCACTTTGATAGACTATAATTATTGCAAAACTATAATAGGTAAATAAACAGCACTCTTACGCACATTAAGTGAAGGGGATTATTCCTCTTTGTGATGCAAAAATTAACTCTGTCAAATTCCCCTTGTATGACTTTACTTTTCCTAAAATGCATTTTAAAATTGTTTTCCTGGCAAGGCTTATGATGGCTCACTTTCCCCTCAAATATGAAGAAACCCAGAAAGTTTTGGATGATTGTCAGAGTAGTTGATGAAACGGAGGATGACAGGGCTTAAGAGAATGAGTTCTACCTTTATAACTAGACCCTCTTCACTAACCTATACCCAGCAATGCCACCTACCTTCTGAACCTGACTTCTTGCCGCCTATCGTATGCACTAAAGGTAAGAATTACGAACTCTTTATACTTGTTAACATGCACATGCACATATGATGAGGCTGGAAAATTTATGAACCATGCAATGTTTGTCATAACTATTTTATTTCTCAAATTTTCTTTATATCATAGATGTTTTTTTGGAATCTGGTGCATGAACAATGTCATTCATGGTGAGCTATAGGTATTTTGACACATTTATAATTATTTCATCAAGAGGAATATCTTGAGTGTCTGAAAAAATTATTCTTTTCGTTTGTTTACAGCTTTGCCCTCATTTGGCAGTTTGCAGTCAAATCTCTGTCAAAGCACACCCAATCCCAGGGCCAAAAGATGATTTATAAGCTTGAAAGATTTAAAATAAATTTTTGTGATATTTGCTATAAAATTCTGTTAAAAAATGGAACCACTAACCCTTAATATCAGAAAATGAGGATCTCCTGCCCAGGGTTAAGAATGTCAGATCTATATTTTCTTACTGTAGTTCCATACCATATTAAGCGTTATTGCAAATTAATTCATATATATTTGTCAAATAATTTTATTCGGTCACTGAAAATTAAGAAGTAGGTAGATAAAAAAAATTTGGACAAAACTATTTCACATTGAATGACATTGTTTTAGACATGAAACAGTGGCAGATAGGCATCCTTTCATGTAATATAATGCAAAACTGATGACAAATATGAAAAATGAAATTTGTATATCCAATTTTCAAATGCAAATATCTGTTTTTCATTTTTTTTCTTTGAGCAGTAGCTTAAGGGTTATGTTTTCATAAAAATACTTCACTTCCATCTCATTGTTTTTACAAGATCCCAAATGAATTTAAGCATTTTCTTTCTTTAATCAAAATGGGGCTAATCTTAACTTCCTAAGTTTAAAATTACACCTTGTAAAAAAAAATTCAAAGTTAAATTTCATTTGCCCTTAAATTGTAAATTTTACTGCATATTTCCTTATACCCTTAGAATCCATTGTTTTTACAAGATCCCAAATGAATTTAAGCATTTTCTTTCTTTAATCAAAATGGGGCTAAGCTTAACTTCCTAAGTTTAAAATTACACCTTGTAAAAATGCAAAGTTAAAATTTCATTTGCCCTTAAATTGTAAATTTTACTGCATATTTCCTTATACCCTTAGAATCCAAAGAGAGAAAAAAATAGGTGTAGGTTCATCTCAAGTGTCAATAAATGAATGAGAGATTGAAAAGTTTAGCTCAAAATCTCTAAACCTGTTGGATCCAGGTGCCAGGCTTACATGGGTGTGTGGCTTGAAGGCCTGACCGCACTCATGCACAGTATCAAGACTCCTTCCCACCTCTTTGCAAGATTATAAGCTCTTTTTCTGCTGTTTTGCTACTTTCTGAGGTCTGCATTTCTTTTCCTTTTTTTTCTGTTTTGTCATTTGGTATGCTATATCAAAATGGTAATAGACTATCTTCACTAAGCAGACCTCATATTATCTCTCCAGGTAGTTTATACTTTGCAGTAACAGTAACAATTAGTAATATTGTGATATTTGTACCACTTTTTATATATTTGCATTAATCAATTTTCCATAACACTCCCTGAGCTGCTAATAACAGTGGGCAGAATAGGTTCCACCAGCAAACATTTGTTTACTGGTGGAATTAATACAAATAATACAAGAGCCCCTACCCAAAGTTTTCTGCGCTCATAGCAAAATTTACCTGTGACCTAACACTCGGCAACAATATCCCAGGGCAAGAAGCTCCTGTCAACCTAGAACCTCAGCTAGAGATTTCCATGACAAGACTTTCACGTTAGCTGCCCCTCGGCCAAATTTTTAAAGGACAAGACATCCTTGTCACCTGGATCTGGATCTAACAGATTAAGCAAGTAACATTTAAAGTGCTACTGTAGAGAAAAAGGGAAAAGCTAATAAAAAGGTGGCTATTCTTGCTCCTATACTTGGTGCTTTATCTTAACAAAAATGGCAAAAAACAGTGGCTTATCACTCAAAAAACAAGTAGTTCAATCCAAAGTGTGGTGAAATTATAAACCCCATAAAACATCATACCTAAATGGGCAGACTGTCTGATATTGGTCCATCTGATCTTGATGGAGTCCCACAACGTTTATTGGAATAATGGTACAACTTGATACAATCTATTGTTTCATTTAGTCCAGATGGTTTAGAAGTGATGGCCTTTGAACTCTGAAAAAAATTTCTTGAATCCCTTGTTTTATCTTAAGGACTTTAGGAACTTTTGCCTCACCTTAGTTATGGAATCAAAACTACACATTCATAGTAAACAGCGAAGAAAGCATTTTCCTGCTTACTATGGTACCAGTGGATTCCTTATAATTCTGATTAAAAATATATTATAAAGTACAATGCTCAGCCATTATAATCAGTATTATTAGCTATTAGAAGAAATCCTATTCTAAAAACATGTTTAGAGATAGTTATTTCCAGCTATGAATAAAACATTTTTGGTATTTTGTAACAAATCAATTTTCCATGACTTTGTTACAAATGGAAAATGTGAAATGAAATGGTATCAAAATGGCTATTACTGTTGCATGTCCCTGAACAACCTATTGAATACAATATATCATTATCCAACATAATGTTGGGTAGCACATCAGAATTCAATACAACACACTGATACAGGGAGTACATGTAAGCAATCCCTGTGATTTCAGATTGCAAGCACTGTCTCTGCAGTTTTGCTTAATCAAATTTGTTTACACAGAAGGCTCTAGAATCATTTAATCACTATGGAGTAATTTTTCAAGACTACCTGACCTCACTTACCCCATTCCCTGAATTTTTGGGAAGACAAGTTTAAATTTTCATTACCAGTATTATTCTTAATAATACTACAATCATACTTATAATAACAATTACAATAACATTGAAATTATAAAAAAGTAACAGAAGTAAAAAGTTTTTTATATAAATTCAAGGTATGATGTAAACAAGTGAGATCAGGGTGCCCTAAGGAACTGGTCAGGATATTTCATAAAGATTATATCCAATATTTTTTATTGTACTAGTACTTTGGGTAAGGTAAACCCATATCCATGGGTAATTCATGTGCCATACTGGAACAGGCACTTGGTGCTGAGGACAGTCAGCTGCTCAAGGGAAAAATTGGCATGAGAAACACTCTCTACAATTTTGGCTTCAGCATATAAGATTTTGTAAGCAATAGGGCTAAAAAGTTTGGAGGGTAGTAACTCCTCAAAGACCACAGTCAGAGCCAAATAAGAAAACTGTTTAGTACACACAATGTATAATGGATGTACATGTCACTTGGAAAGTAGTCCATCCATGCTATGTGCAAACATGTCATCCATCAGCAATGGGTTACTTGCAAAGATCTGCAAAAGCTCTATAAATCATGTTGACAAAATTTTACTGACAGTATCCAGCATCCACATTATTTTGGATGGATTTGAATGTTAAAGGTATTTTGGTGCACACAGCTCAGGAAAGATGAAGCAAACATTTTAGCTGCCTAGCTGAAATGAAAAGGTACTGTCACACAAGTATTGTTTCATAGTACATATATTATTTAATAACTCAACATTGCTGCAGCATTATCATATAAAGTGAAAAATATACAACAACAGCAATATGCAATAGCTGACTTGGCTGTATGTTGTAACTGCAATGCACATATAATACTCCCAGAGTGACTGCACCTTAAACCAATGATAGTAAATAGCATGCTATGGTGAGGGTGAACCAGAATTACAGTTGGCACCTATATATGTTACAACAATGGTGGCTACTCTTTTCTACAAACTATATTGGCATGAAGTTTTATGGTTCTAATGAACCTTGTTCTAAAATTACAGCTTTGGCTTAAACTTTCCTTTTTATACTTTTATTGAAAAGAAATCTCTATGTTTCCAGTTTTTTTTTATCTCATGCAGCCAACCTTAATACGAATCAAAGCATATCAGCAAGTGAGCACTAATTATTTTCAAGCACCATATGCTTATTATGACATGTGACTGGTTGTAATTTACAACAACAAATTTCTTTATCAAAAATTTGAGAAGAATATAAGATAATGTGTATTTTAGTATTTATCTACGTATCAAGTCCCATTGTCCCTCTCACTAATAATGTATATGCCAAAAGTAATTAATACTAGCAACATGGACTTTTCCTGATAAATAAGATATTGTCATAATCTAACCCCAAAACAAAGAAAGGTAAATTTGGAACTAACACCTAACAGCAATTTTCAGATTAAAATAATATTTTTCTGTTGGTTTCGTTCATCTGAATCATAAATAAAGATTACAATATTGCCCCAGTATCTGGGGAGGGAAAGATGAGTTCCAAGAAAATGAACCCCTTTGATCCTGGTGACATTACTATCATGTCAAGAAAAATTTGGCTTGAGGGCCAGATGTGAACCATCATGAGCAAAAGCCAGGGTGGCAGAAAAGATCACATGTGCACAAACCATTTGGAGGGTGATTTGACTCATTTGGCATTTAGAAAGGGGCTTTTGCGTTATTCCCATCGATAAACAAGTATAGAATGTAATGTTCATAAGCCATGACTGGAAGAGCACTGGCTCCAGGCAGGATGCCATTTCCAAGATCAGCATCGTATTTCTGGCCATTGTGACAGGTAGCACAGGTTTATTACAGAAAATTCAATATTACAAAAAAATATATACGACATAAATAGCAAAATGCTATGAGTTATTTACTACATAAAGAGATGATATGGAGTCTTTTACTATCTCGATAAAGCAAATCAAAGACAAATAAGAACATTGGAAAAGGGCAAAATAGCTAAATCATTTATGAAAAATAACTTTGCAAAAGGAAGGCATAGAGTCTTGTCACCACACACAAGTGTTCACACATGCCCAGCCTACATGCCACACACCTGGCAGAGCAGCTACTTACGTAGCTTAATAGCTGTATTTTCAGCCATGTGATTGACATGATGCAACCGGATTCAAGGGGTTAAAGGGTAAAAGCAAAAGATCATGGTAATCATTCCTAAAAATTTACCTATCATGGGGCATTGCCCCTAAGTCCCCCAATTAGTCTACAAAATCTTCACCTAGTGTGTTCTGGTAGGATAGACTCGTGATGCACATTTACAACATAGAGAAATTTTACCCTGTGAAACACCCTCCTAGGGGAATTTGACCCCCAACTTGGTCTCCAAAATTTTCACCCTGTATATTCTGCTAAGACTGAGTCTGGGCAAATATGGTACAGGTTTGGATGAGTTCTTAACCCACTAACGCCAGTATATTTTGAAGCCGAAAATAATAATTTCCAGGTAGCTACGAAATTGGTGTGTGGGGCTGGCCCGGAATCTGCCTGCATGTTGACTGCAGGCCACGACGGAATCGGAGCACAAGCTCCGATACGTCACACCGGCGGGGCGCCCCGCAATGTGTGTCTCATATATGGGACACCTGTCATAAATGGGTTAACTTGCATTGTACTTCCAAAGAAGATTCATTGCCTATCATTTTTTTTTTTATAGGAATTAGTATTGCTATTCACAGGTCCTTGTCATCATTCCCAAATATTTTATAGTGAAACTGACTTAGCCTTCCTGACACCTGCTCTACCTAGCCATGGTGGAACTGTTTAGAATTTTGACTGCCTTCTCTTAGGTCCAGCTTATACTGTCATGCAACCATCTATTACTATTCTAACAGGCTCTATCAACCCAAAAGTAGAGTCTATTGTCTTGTCACAGTCAAGGACAATTCTAATTAGCTCACTTGATTTCCCTTACATACATCATCTACTACAACTGTGATAATTTTTTGGCGTTGTTTTCTGCAGGTGCTGGAAGGGTACAGCTGGTGGAGTTCCTGGAATTTATAAGTTTTACAATCTCTACAATATTTGAGATGGATATAGCTGAGAAAAAACTTCTGAGAGTGTCCAAGTTCTAATTGATGGCAAGGTAAGGTTCTTCAGGTTAGGTATCAGGTGCCCAGAGTGAATCTGACATTGGCCTTGTATCAGAGATTTTTCACCTAAAATATTTTGTATGCCATGCACTCAGTTTAGCCTATCCCTTGACTGTGTCAGTCAGGAACATAATTTCTATAAGCTGAAAGATAAATCTTATTTGTTATGTAGCAGTAATACTTTTTGACAACTATATTGCTTTTAAAATAGCAGAATGTATCCATGATTGCCAGTATATACTTTACAAACTGGAGCAAAGCTCACATTGTCACCAGAGTGCTGCAACATTGCAGCAGCCTCAGCTTCGGTGCCAGTGTTGCACTAATGCTGATTCGGGCATTACTCTGCACCAAAACCCTGTGCCAAAGAATTTCCTACATCACACTCTGCACTGAAGATCTTTCAAAAATAAGCCCTCAGATTCACTCTGGCCTGGTGACATAACTATTAATACCTAAAGAAACTATGACATGATTACAATTACCTTCGAATTCATAAAAAAATTGTCCCTGTATTGTTAACAAAAGCCATGGTCATCAAACATCAAAACATGCTAAATACAATATGGCACAAAATAACCTAAGAAAGGATTGTTCAGAGTAAAGTTCACAAAACTGTGGTTAAGGTCTGCAGCCTGTGCAGTTACTAGGAGAAAACAGAGGCTAATAATATATCATTTAATGGTTATAGACTGGATAATTCCTAAAAACATACCTTTGTGGTCTCTCATTCCATTGTAGCTACCACTATGACTAATGAATGTCTCTTCTAGGTAAACACGAAGAGAACAATATCAATATTGTCGAGTTGGCAGATCTCCCACGTCAAACTTCTTATGTGTTCGATTCCGTCGCTTTGCTTATGGCTACAATTAGTTAACTTAGATGTCATAAATTGCAACTATACAAGTTGACGAACTCTCAGTATACCACGAAGATCTTATTAAGCCTCAATTTTGGTTATATTTAGATTTTACTGAATAAGATAATGACATCCAATGCCAACATCCCACGATTTCGAAGTAAGAGACATTGTAAACAATCACAATTCACTTCCTTTTCTAAGTCAGTCACCATACTGCCGAAATATATATACGTAAACTTATATTAATTTCGTTATAGGAGAATATGCAACTCTGATGTATATATTTTAAAAATGACATTGAATGATTATATATATTTTATTTTAAAAATGTCTTATTGCGAGAATTAGAAAGAAAGAAGTTATTCCACTCAGCCCTCGCAGTTGGCTCACACCGTCACACGTGTGGTCACTGGGCAACATACTCGTGTTTACAAGTAACAAATCGGAACACTGCCTTTTTTAAGAACATGAGGCAAAGCTCCAGATAATATAGACTAGAAAATAGTCAAAATCTTACAGAAGAAAAGTGGAACAATAGGAGATCAAGATGAGAGCGTCAAGTTTGATACAAGAGCTTCGTGGGAATCTACCCATAGCAGGTAAGCAATCAAAATGTGTTTGGAACCCCTCGTCTTGCTTGTCCAGACTTGTCAGAACCAGCAGGACAAAGAAGCTGCGTTCGGAACCTCCGAGGATTTCATTGCCCGCAATGTAGCCAGCTCAAAAGTGAACATTCACTATTTTTTTTATAGACCGATTCGGTAATGCCAAGAAACTGCCCCTAGTAAGGAGCACTTGGTGAAAACAAACCCTCGTTCGTTCGAAAACTCGCTTTTATGCTGCGTTCGGAACTGTTCGTCTTGCTTGACAAGTAGGCCTCAATCGGAACCTCCAAGACCCTTTCTGCCCAGAATGCAACCGGCTTGAATGTAAACATTCACTTTTTTATCGTACCGGTGTCTTTATTTTACACGCTGCATAGGTTATGTAACTCTTTTGGTACATATTTAACTTACCTGCGACTGACAAACAAAAATATCCTTGACCAATAAATGGTCATAAAATTACCCACTAATATCTTGTGGTTACCTGCAACTGTCGGTAATTTTCTATATTACGTCCGCATGACCGATAACGACGATTTTGGTATCGTTGGATTCCTCTCACTCTATACAATGCAAATAGATAGGTTTTATTGCGCTAACCCCCCCCCCCCGTTAGCGACAAACGGTCCCGATTGCGGGGCGACGATGCGCCGGACGTAATATAGAAAATTACCCTAATAATTTAACCTCACAGTGAAAATAATCATAGTTATTCACATGACTTTCCATTGCAGGGGGCTGTGCCCCCTGCGACCCCCCCTGGGGGGTCGCAGGATCTACTTGAACCATTTATTGTCACATAAAGAAGGAAAAATATGTAAATAATTGTGCTTCATTGTCACTTGTCTCGACTGGTAAAATCGCGGGGAAAAAATACATCAAGACCTACTTGAACCATTTATCATTACATATAGAAGGAAAAACATGCAAAGAAGGATTGTGCATCATTGTCACTCGTCACAGGGAATCAGTCAGTATACAGGCCAATGTAGGGAGCTGCAGCCCTCCAACTTCCTGCCCTGGACAACATAGAGTCCACCACGTGTGTATGGCACAATAGACTGTAGGACATACTTGCATCAGATGCTCCCACATGTTTGTAGCATCCTCTATTCTGCTGTGAATGCATGGAGGATTCACTGTTTTCTAGGGTGGGAGATGTAGGGCATCATACAGTATAACAACATATTTTGTGTATTTAATTCATATTTTACCCTGCAATTTCCGTGGTACTTTTTATGCTCTCCCCTGCTATTGGGGCCAATAATGTGGGGGTATGGGGGGGTTCTGCTACAAATATACTAAATATATGGGTAGTAGAGAGTCAGTGGAATCTTTTGATACCAATATCATCATGATTGGTCACGTGAAAGTTTTCTGAATATTTACCCAGTATGCTTATGTTCATGCCATATATGCACCCATAAAGACTTAGTTTGTAATTTTGATGCAGATGTATGATACAGTGAAGCCTAATTGTAATTATCTGGCCTCAATTTCCTCAAAAGTTTCCAGCTACCATGATAGAAAGACTATAAACTATGGTTGGGCTAAAAGAAATGGTGCGATAAAATATGTATCCCCAGCAGGATCACCATTCTGCACATGCCTTGACATACCATGTGGAAGCAAATGTTTAGGATACATTTTATATCAATGTGTGAAGAGTTTAATTTCTTTTCTGAAAGCTTCTCCTATAGTAAGTTCAAAGATAGTGGTCAGTTTATGAAAGAGGTTGTATAATCACAATAACTTTTTTCAGGTTATTTATTGTGTATTTTTTTGTTTACATGATGATGACCTTTTCTTTGCTAATATATATTTAAGATGCTCACTTTAAAATAACCAGTTCATTTTCTCTTGCTAACACATTCATACTTCACAGCTCTGCAACAGTTCAACCAGGATGTTGAAGAAAGTAGTAATCCCCAAGAGATCATAGAGGACCTACTCTATGTTTCCCCTGAATGTTCAGAAATTATGAGGTTACTGCGGAAGGAAAATATCACTTCAAATGAACTTGCTGTCATTCTTACCAGCTTTAGTCACATACTCCTGAAGTAAGTTATATATTATCTTTCTTTCTTCATTTCATTTTTTCCTCCTATCTTCTTTTCTTCCTGTTCTTCCCTTTTCTTTTCCTCCTCTTCCTCCTTTTTCTTCTTTTCTTCCTCCTCCTCTTCTTTCTCCTCCTCCTCCTCCTCTTCTTCTTCTTCTTCTTTTCTTCTTCTCTTTCTTCCTATGCAAATCTGATATAATGTTTACACACCTAACCCATTAAAAGAATTATTCTAATTTTATATATTGGTATTTTAGGTAATCTTGAACATAAATAACCAATTTTAGGGAATCATTATGTTTCCAGCTTCGTAAGAGTTCTATATACCCACCATGTGTTAGGAACTAATTTGCAGAAAAAGTCTTTGATTTATATGTATAGTTTAAAGCCATGCGTACATTTCTATGAGTATCTAGCTATGTGTTGTTATTCATTTTATTGGAATGAAGTTTTTGAAAAATATATATTCCTGTTCTCAAATGTCAAAGCAAAAATATTAGTTCACAATTTATTTAGGTTTTACTGAATGTTTCTTTTATTTGATTATAGAGGATATTACAATAGAATTATTAATCCAGTAATGGCAGGAAATATTGTGAGAAAAAACATGAAATTATATCACTGATCATCTGTGATTATATACTATGACAGGATATCTTGTCACACATTATCAACTGGTTAAATTTTTAAATTATTTTCTTTCTGCTTTCACTTATGCTTATTCTTTTATAAAGTATTGCAGGAGAGCTAAAGAAGTACAGGAAGACTGGTGTCTTCCTTACTCAAGACCTCCTACATGATCATATTCATCACTTCTACCAATTGGTGTCACCAGCCAGTATTAATAAAAACAGCAGAGCAGCTTTACAATGCCTAACAGGTAATGTTATGATCCTGTTATGTACAATTGGCATTGTCATAGTTGTTTTTATTATGTTATTATTCGTGTTACCATTATCATTATTTCTATTACCATTATTTGATATTACTGTTGATTTTATAATTTATTTTAGTTTTTATTGTTGTCATTAGAATTAGTAGCAACAGTTGTTTTAGTATGCAGTAAAGTGTGCATTCAGCTAACAAATAAAAACATTAATAATTGAAAAACACTTGGACAAAACATTCAACAGTTATCTAAAACAGTGTATCTGGTGGATTGTTAAAATAATCTGGAATGTAGCAATGCTTTATCAAGCCTTGTTTGATATAGCATTTCTATGATAACCATCTTGTGATTAGCATAAAAAAATGAGGATCATCTCATTACCCTACTTGGTCAGCCATCTCCACGCAGATTCTCAAAGAGAGTTTCATTGTTCAGTCAGAACTAAAAACTGCCAAGTCACACTCATCTTTTTATAATTCACAAATGCATATGATTCCATCAGTAGAAGTAAACTGTTTGAAATTCATTTTGCATGGTATATCATATCTTTGTCAGTGATATCCTTACATTGGAAAGACTATAAGTACAAGTTGTTGCATATACTAATGGTTACAAACTTTACCAATGAAGTTGGCATTTCTAAGCAGACACTCCATATCCGTACCCATCTTTTATAACTTTCAACAATACCATGAGCAAAGTCACAGATGGCTGAGACCAAAGAGGTGATATCAAGACTTCTTCACAGGGTGAAAAGTAGACTTAATCATAGGGCAGCCTGATCCAGAGTGGGTCAAGGTCAGGGGAGAGACATCTGTTCTTGATTAAGACTAAACAGAATGGAAGAGGCATCCAATTGTCATCCCTTGAGCTTTGCCTCTTGATATTCAGTGTGTTAAACCACAAAGAGATTCCCTGATCACCCAGCCAGAGCCAGAAGGAGACTACATTTGGCCAAAGTGCCAAGAGGAAATGATATGTGGGTTTCTTTTCTGAGATGCACACTGGTTTGGCCATACCCTGATGAATACATGAAGCTTCTTCTGAATTAAAGCATACTTGAAGTATCATAAATAAAAGATGTGTAAGACCAGAAGAGTGTGGCAGAAAATCGACATGGCATGGCCTACTGACTATGGCTAGAATATAGCCTGAAATTATTTTGATTGAAAAAATTACCCATCACAAAAAATAGTACTGTCATGCTAGATTGGCAATCAGATATTACAGGACCTTGTCTTTACAAGTATGATAAGAAATACACCCCCCTCCCAGAATACTCATGTAGTTAATGATGCAGTGTTTATTGTAATATTAATTTAATGCCTTAGGCAAGCTAATATACCAAAAAGCAGACTCTGGGGCTGCATATTAATATGGGAGCCTACCTCACTCGAGGGTAAGTGGCAGCTTTGTTTCCATGTCACCTAGGCAAAGATAATATCCTAGTTTGTGGCTTTGATACAGACATACATGAAATAATGAGGCTTTAGTGCTATGACAATAACACTAATGTGGTATGTCTTACATACCCTTGATGAGATGGCCATTCTTGGCTTGGCCTCACATAATGCCATCTAGAGATAAAGGGTTATA